CTGATGGGGAACCAATGCCGTTTTTAGTTAGATGTGAGTGAACTAGCCAAAAATAAAATGATGCCAAATAAAAATCCAAATCAACCACTGAACTTCAATAAAAAGAGGAATAAATATGCAGGCCAAAAAGTGCAGATACACACACCCACACACAGGCACACACAAACAAACACACACACACACACACACACACACACACACACACACACGAACACAGTTTAAAGTTTTTGTGCTTAGTTTTGATTCAGCTCTTCATCACCACAGGGCCCAACTCCGGTTCGCTCCAGTATTAGGCTCAATTAGAACAAGATCCAATTAGAGGGCTGCGTTCCCCTGGGGCAAGGAGAGGCAGGAAATGGAGACGGAGAAAACGTGCAAGTCGACAACATGCGGACACAGCCAGCATAAACAAACTCACTTTGTTGATCTCGGCTGTTGCTACGCCAAAGTCCCCTGGGAGTCAAAGCCCTGCTAGTCTAAGCTATGAGATAAAACAAAATACAAAAAAAAAAAAAAAGTGGGAGAAAAAAAAAGGCCCACAGCGAAACATGAACTCTGTGAGCACAAGGGCTCCGACACCATGAAGGGAACGTCTGGGCCCAGAAAATGAAAAAGCCCGCAGGCGTTTTCCATTTACAGCGAAAAAATCCAGCGCTCGCTTCTGGCCAGGGTTAGTATCAGACTCTCAAAATGAACACTTACACTACTGGAGGAACAAATGGAGCCGCTTTCCATTGTCGCTCTATTAAATCTGTGCCGTAATGGACATATACCTTACTAGTGACAGAAATCAATAGTGTACAATAAGACAGAAAGGAAGGAAAAGGAGAAAGAACAGAAAAGGTGTAATTGGCCAAGGACTGGCGTGATGCTTGGGTCTAACATCGCCCTTGCCGGGGGGGGCTCCAGTCCATCCCTGCCCTCCCCCAAGGCTGGCGTAGTGAGGGAAAATGGCGAGGGCCAACCTTGGCCTGCTGGAATGATGGGGAAAAAAAAAGAAGAAGATGAGGCATTTGGCTGACACTGACTCGGAGTGGATTCGCATCACGACACCCTGGCTTTGGGGACAGCACGCTCAGGTGTCGTGGGTGGTATGTGAAATGCCGCATTAAAACCCCCCCCGACTCACCTCAACCCCCCCCCCCTCCCCTGCAGTCTGCCAAGTTGAGTTTCAAGCAGAGATGGAAATCCCATTAAGTCACGTGCTGAACTTGGCTCTGCAAAGTCATTTAACAAGTTTGCTTCAATTACACTTAAAATGAGAGTGGAACTTCTGAAGGCCAACACCCCCTCGAGTCGTACCTTCAGGAAAAATATGCCCCTAAAATCATACGTCAGTGCTCAAAGGAGTGAATTTAGCTTAACACACTTTAGCGTCCACTTGCTTTCCGTCCAGCTCGAAGTCCCTCTCCATGACGAAAGTGCATAAATTAGCTATTGTCATGTAACGCCGTCGCATGGATGCGGCAGAAGAGGGGAAAATAACACCCCATAAATCGAAGCTACATCCAACCACGTCATCTTTCATTGCGCATCAGCGTGCAGGTGCAGTACTTCTTTTTCTTCTTAAGTGCAGCTGCATGGAAAGTGTACTCGCTCACAGGAGGTCAACGTTTGGCCACGGGGGCTCCCAGCTGCGGCCTGACTGACCCGCGATGGCCGTCTCGCCTAAGTGCTGCCGGACTCAGTCGCCCCCCAGCAGCGTGAGTGCTCCACTGATCTGGTGCTGGCTCATGCGGCCTGGCATGACTACACTGCATCACGTATGTCAAAAAAAAAAAAAAAGTGGGGGGGAGGGGTCAGATAATGCAGATCTGGGCTCTCCATATATAAAAAGAGACTCGGTTTTTGTTTTATGACTCGCCGGCAGACGTGGCTAGAGTTGTCAAAGCCTGTACTCACATAATAATACTGTTTCTTTAACGTAATATAACGTAAAATAAAGGTAAGTTGAGTAAAAGTAAGTACTGAATAAATAACTACACAAGGCCTAATTGGTGAGTGATTTAGGATTGGTTTAATCAGAACATGGTGGTGCAATAGAAAAAAAAAAGACATTTTCGTCAATTAACTTCCTTTGTTTACGCAACAGCCTAACACGCCGGCCAGGTAGTGATCAAATGGAAAGTGTGTGTCCTCAAGTTCAAAGTGAACTTATTGTAGGCTGAAATGTCCACCAACATTTTGACAGCTGGTTGTATTCGTAGCTTGTGCATAATCAAAATATAGATTTCTGCAATGTCTCACATAATTAAGTCACGTTGAAAACAGCAGAGGCTGCGGTCATGTGACTGCTTGGCTGCATTTGATTGGTCAAGTGGAGTCAAACCTCACTAGTTACTGTGTTACCTCGAGTCGTGTGTTACAAGTGTCTCTGACAAACTCAATGGATCACACAAGAAAAATACCTGCAGATAAAAAAAAATTATAATAATACAACTAGTTAGTGGAATGCTGCTCAATGTAACCAAATAAAAGTAGCATTTCTTCTGAGCAAAAA